TACTTCTGAAAAATCCGTATTACACGTGTCTAGTGCAACATGAAGCTATTTCGGTGCAACGCCGTCAAATATTAGTGCAACATGAAAAAGTTTTAGGGCAACATGTGCAAAATTTAGATATTACTGCAACATAAAGCCAATTTTAGTGCAACTTCGTAAATCCAATGGCTGAGATTCATTCTCATTTCTCACATTAGATGCATTTCTCACCTGAACCAAAATATATATATATATATATATATATATATATATATATATATATATATATATATATATAGGGGAGGGTTCCAGTGAGAAGGGACTCTCAGGAGAGAAAAGAGAATGAATATGGACCGTTGGATTGTATGATGTGAAATTGAACTGTGTACTTAGTAAAACTGAAATATGCATTAAGTGAAATTGAAATGTGCAGAATGAAAAGTAAAACTCAAGTGTGCATTTCGTGAAATTGAAATGTGCAGAATAAAAGGCTAAAAAAAATATCACCACATTTCAGTTTCACTTAGTGCACATTTCAACTTACCTTCTGTGTTGCACATTTCGATTTCACCTAATGCACATTTCAGTTTCACTAAATGCACATTCAATTTCACATATTACAATCTAACGGTCCAGATTCATTCTCATTTCTCTCCTAAGATCATTTTCTCACTTGAACCTAATTATATATATATATATATATATATATATATATATATATATATATATATATATATATATATATATATATATATATATATATATATATATATATATATATATATATATATATATATATATATATATATATATATATATATATATATATAGATTTAGGATCAAATGAGAACAACCCTTAACGTGAGAACGTGAGAACACCACATTTACCCAAATGTGATGCACAATGAGGCTCGCCCAATGCACATTTTCGCGTTCGGCACAGTATTTACTAAAATGCCACCGTCATTATTTATATAGGCTTATTTTGAGCTAAACCCAAATGTGCACCTGACGGGCTCAATTGTGTATCACGCTGGGTTAATTGTGAGTGTTCTCACGTTCTCACGTTAAGCATCGTTCTCACTGGAACCGCACCCTATATATATATATATACATATATTGGATCAAATGAGAATTATGCTTAACGTGAGAACGTGAGAACTCCACTTTTAAGCAAATGTGATGCACTATATCGTTTATACCTTGCACATTTTCGTGTTTACAAAATAATTACGAATCTGCCTCCACATTTATTTAAAGTTGGCAAGTTTTGACCAAAGTTTAAAAAGTGCAATAGATGAACTTCATAGTGCACCAAATTGTGTTAAATGTGCATGGTTCTCACGTTAAGCACGGTTCTCATTGGAACCGCTATATATATGTATGTATGTATGTGCGTACGTACGTACGTACGTACGTATGTATGTATGTATGTATGTATGTATGTATGTATGTATGTATGTATGTATGTATGTATGTATGTATGTATGTATGTATGTATATATATATATATGTATATATGTATGTATTTAAATAATTTAATTTAGTTCTTTCCCGCAACATGTTTTTTATTTTTGGTAAGTACAATAACTATTATTTTATATGATAACTTCTATTGTTATTATTTTGAATATGTATACATGCACACAAATATACATATACACTCATACTCCGTATATATCAGTATTAATGTTCCAAATACGACTAATTTTAGTAATTTTCAAAATAATATTACAAAATAGCAATAATATTCATGATGATATTTCTTATCGGTGTTATTGCATTGCCATAATATTTTCATTTTATTTCACATTTTAATAATTACATAGTGTTCAATATTAAATTCTTAATGAATGGGCTAAAGTTGTATGGTATATAAGGCTTTTGGATTATAATACTCTCACGTCCCTTATAACTTTGTCCACTTTCCCTTTTTGGATGTTCCATTAACTTTGTCACTTTTCTTTTTAAGTAAAGAATTTGTGGTTCCGGTTAATTCTCTCTCATCTGCACAAACTTCAACCACACAATTTTTACTTTATTAATCCCTGTGTCGATCAAACTTGGCAAAATTATTAGGGATGAGAGGAGTATTAGAGAACGGGGGTAGTATATTACTAAAAAAAATGATTTTAAAATTGTTAAATTTATTCACGCACAGAGAAATTTGATGCATTTTATAAACTGTAAATGATTAAAAGCTTATAAATTGAATTTTTAGCTTTCAGTCTTTTACTCGGTTTTTTATCTATTAGACCCGTTTTTTAATAAAAAAGCATTAAGTTTGACAAGTTTTAAAAATGATGGGAGAATGTCTTTTCTTGAAGTGTAAAAGGTCAAAAGGTGGTGTTAACCCTTGCTGACAAACTGACACCTGTTGGTGGAATATATATAGCTAAAACTGAGGAACAGTAATCTCTTTGGCCAGTCGTGTGATTTGTGATCTTGTCAACTCGTGAGGACAGAAACCCCCAAAAGAAATAAGATTAAATAATATTACTAATAATTAAAAGGTCTGAAGGTTATGCCCAAACAGAGAAGCATAAAATTTTGGCATCCTTTCAGCTCAGATTTTTTTCAATTAATAAATTCAACAAAAGGCATACTAAATAATATAATAATCAGTAACATATTGCTGTCTTTTTAGATCTCACTTTCTAGCAAATACGTAGTACTCCGTAATAAATATATGCTGTCATAACCCCCACGTACGTTGTGTCGTTGTTCTTACTCCTCATTCTTATCACATAAAAAATGTTTAACTAGAGTCAAGGTCAATTCATCCTCAAGGCTATTTAAATTAATACGGAATATGAACAGTTAAATTATATTATTAAAATTTAATGAATTAGGGACAAAATTTATAAGATATGTGTTTTTTGCATGTGGATGAGTATGATACATTCCTCGATTATTTTCATGCTATATCACTTTTGCCAACACTCAATTTTTACTTTGAATGTATTTAATTATTTACTAGTAAAAAATAAAAAATAAAATAGATATTAAAAACTTGTAATTGGAATAATTAAGGAATTTAAAAATAAATAAAATATAGTCAAAGTAGAGCATGTATGTAAATAATATAAAAAGAAACACAAGATAGTATCTAATACTCCGTATCAGTTACTCCGTATTTTGCTTTGTATTTTATTAGTTTTAACATGTTGCTTTTCTAAGAATATTCCTATTTGCTGACATTTCCATTTTTTTTAAAAAAAAAATCTTTTTCTTACTTTTGTACTCCCTCCGTCCCAGAATGTTGTTCCAATTGCGGATTACAAAGGTTGACCGACGACAAAGTTAAATAATCCCTGTGAAAACTCGGATTATTTTTAGTAAATAAAATTTACATATTCAGAAACTACATTAAACCCTCGAAAAGCGATATGACTAAATTCAATTTTCATAAAGTTTAGATACAAAAATTAAGAGTTTAAGAGTGATTTAAGTTGACTCTCGAAAAGTGAAATGACTAAATTCAGGGACAGAGGGTGTATTTTTTTTGTACATTTACATCTCCTTCCATGGAGATTATGATGTATCTTCTTTCTCTTTTTTTTTTATTTTATTTGGTTGTTCTTATCACATGATTAGGGATGGACTCGGGCCGGGCGGCCCGACCCGGAACCGGCCCGGCCCGGTCACTGTTTGAACCGGCCCGACCCGGCGGCCCGGCCCATGGGCGGTTCGGGTCGACCCGGCCCGGTGGCTACCGGTTCCGGGCCCGGGCCTTCATTTTGGTGAACCGGCCCGGCCGGTTCGGGCCGGATTTAATTTTGTTTTTTTGAACTTTTTTTTAAGTTTTTGGGTTGGATTAGTTATTTTGGGCCATTTGGGGTGGTTTGGGGTTGAGGGGGAGGGTAGGGGGTAGATTAGGAAAACCCAAAAAAAAAATTATATAGAACCGGAACCGGGCCCGGCCCGGCCCGAACCGGACCCGGGGTTACCCGGGCCGGTTCCGGGCCTCCCCTACCTTGAACCGAGGCCCGGCCGGTTCAAGGCCCGAACCGGGCCCGGCCCGGAACCGGTCCACCACTACACATGATAGAGAAGATGATTTGGACAGTGTTGATATAAACATATCATAAAAATGATTAGACCTAAAACTTGTTCGAACTCAGTGGTGATTCGAAGAAGTTTTTGCCATGGAGTCTGATACTTGTTAGATCTAACAAAATTTATTTTGATTTTACAGAGAAGCAAAAAGTTTGTATGAAAAAGAGAGAGAAGAAAATGAAAAAGAAATAGATAGAGAAGATAGAACAAAAAGATGAGAAAAATGAAAAAGAAAAACAATAAATATGGGACAACGAAAAATGCTTCCTAGAAGAAAGGTCTTGATAAGGATGAAAAATAGGAGTAAGAAAATGGACTATAGAAAAGTAGTGTAAGAGTAAAAGGGAAAAGAAAAATAATTGTATATATCTAGGTAGAACTACGTATATGACTAAAATGAATTTTATTTACAAAGTGACTTTGTAAATGTAATAAATACCATAATAGAGGAATGATCATATACATATGGATGTACGGGACTCCGTACGGACAAAGCCATTAGAGGCCCTTCCGGGTGTAATTTTTTGATGAATTTTTTTTAATATGTTCTTCATCAAGTCTAGTTTATCCATACCAAATTTCAACTCAAAATTTAATCGGAAAGACAGTCAAATAAATTCTTGAAATATATGACACATTTTGGCATTTTGTGCACATTGAGTATATTTCAGCTCTCTACCATAGTACGGAGTATATCTTATGTTTAATTTTACACTATACTATATCAGGCTATAGTATACTACTCCGTACATAACTGTTAGTCATTTTTTTGCAAAAAAAATATTATATCGATAATATTTTGAAAAAAACTCAAGGAAAGAAAAAATAAATTAAACTTAAAAACCACCTGTACAACTACCTACGCCGCGCCGCACATAAGTCTCAGCGTCTCGCAAATCAGGTGAGACACAAGCTCATTTATATTCAAAGGGAAAAGAATTGGGGGAAAAGGGGGAAAAAGAATAAGAAAAGATGAATGCCATGCAAAATTGCAAACATCTTCACCGGAAAGCCTATTATTCACCGGATAAATCGTCATTTGGAATGTTGAGGGTTTAGTTGACTGCAGTATTGGAGTAATAAGTAGGGCATATTTGGTAGTTCTTCCTTTTTTCTTAAAAACTTTTACATCAGAGAATGTTGAGCTTAAAAATCTCTCATCTTGAAAGGGGAGTAATATATTCATATGGTCCTTCCTCCAATTCCTCATCACAGATCACACTTACAAAGTTACACCTACGTAAACTTTTGCCCCAAATAAGGCAGGTAAGCGGTAATTTCTCCACGGTTCATCTGGTCCATTCAAACATATCCTGATGTTATTCAAATATCTCCACTCTTCCCATTCAAGATAACAGTGACAACTAACAAACAAGTCTGGGAATTGATTATTCAACTCTTACTCCTGCAAAATAAAGAAGAAGAATAATTCTTCAACCAGTGTGAATGAAAGTGGAGGTCATAACTCTTAAGGACTCTCCCGGATTATGGAAGGGAAGGCATGCAGATTAATGAATGAAGATTGGTTGCCTGAGATGCAGAAGGTAGCGAATCAAGCAGCATCAGATGTAGCCTCCTTGATAGAAATAGTATCAAAGATCTCTATCCAATACCCATCAGGATCTTTGATGAATGCTATACTCTTCATTTTTCCTGCAAGGAGTGTCTTTTAGATATGAAAAAACAAAAAGGTAAACAATGAAAATGTTTATGTTTTTTTTCACACTCTTTTAGCACTTTGCTGGAGTTTTATTTGATACAAAAAATAGAGATTAAAAGGAACTAGGTTGAATGCATCAGTATTCAATAGTAACTCATAAATAATGGAATATGAATAGAGATTAAAGATATTGATATGAATGATCTTATTGATGATATGAGCTACCATACAGAATAATTAGAGTCAGTTAAGTCACAACAAACTAAACAAACCTAACCGAAGCTATAATCAACTACTAGTATATTAAAAAGTGTATATTTAACATCCCCCCTCAAAGTTAGGGTGATTGATGTGAAATGTCAATCACACTAAGTTTGGTTCTTAGGTCAAGAAAGCTGGAGCCAGAAAGAGGTTCAGTTAAATATATCAGCAAGTTGATGAAGAGCAGGAATGTGGTAGACTTTATTTAAGCTGCTTCAAGTGAACCTTTTCATGAACAAAGAAGAGATCAAGTTCCATATATTTGATGTAATGGTGCCAGAAAGATACTCCCTCCATCCCGAAAAGGTTGGCCAAATTTCCTTTTTGGATGTCCCAAAAAGATTTGTCATTTCCATTTAAAGTAAGGAATATGTGGCTAAAGTGAATTCTCTCTCCTCTGCACAAATTTCAACCACACAGTTTTTACTTTATTAATCAACGTGAAAGTCAACTTTGGCCAACCTTTTCGGGACGGAGGGAGTATATGAGAATATGCTTAACTGCAGCCATAAACTAACACACTTTGCTAACAGCATAACAGATCTTAGGTTTGATTAGAGTGGCATACTGCAAGACTCCAACTATAGATATGTAATAGAAAGGATTATGAAGATAGTTACTGCCTTCATAGGTAGAAAGGATTATGAAGATAGTTACTGCCTTCATAGGTAAGTTTACAAGTATTGACCATGGGTGTTTTGACTCCCTTGGATGAATAGCATACCAACTTGATTAAGTATATCTCTTATATACTTAGCTAGGGAGAGGTGTAAGCTGCCATCAGATAGTTTGTGTGCCTCTATGCCCAATAAGCTAATCTATGGTAGTAGAGTTATTTCCAATTACTAATATATCATCAATATATATCAATATATATAATTGAACTCCAGAGGACAGAAAAATAAACAAAGAGGGATCACACTTTGTTTAAACCCAGCACTGTATAGAAATGAAGTGAGCTTAAGAAATCAAGCTCTAGGAGCTTGTTTGAGGCCATATAGGGACTTGTGGAGTTTACGGACCAAAGTATCTTCCACTTCAAAATCTGGGGGCTGCAGTGCTGCACCATACAGACTTCTTCATCAAACTCTCCATTTAAGAAAGCATTGTTGACATCAAGTTACTGAATTGACCATTTATTTGAAACATCAAGTGTAAGGAGGATTCTAATAGTGACAAGTTTAACAACTGGAGAAAATGTTTCTCCAAAGCCAAAACCAAATCTTTGATGAAATTCCTTTGCTACCAATCTGGCCTTATACTTGTTTAAAGAGCCATCTGGTTTCTCTTTAACCTATAAAGCCAATAGCTTGTTTATCTGAAGGCAGAGACACAAGAGACCAAGTATTGTTACTTGTTAGAGAGCAAATCATTATATTCAGATTTCATAGCCTCAAACCACTGAGGAGAAAAGAGAGCCTGTTAAGTGATTTGGGCTCGGTATGAGCCTACAGTAAGGTAGGATTTAGTCTTGGTTTTACTATTCCTGATTTGGCTCGTGTTCTCATAGAATGAGTGTTAGCCAAGAGAACTAAAGAAAGTGGAGAGGTAATAAAGAAAATTGTTCGATAGGAGTGGTTAATATACCAGGAGAGGGAGGTAATGGAACTGATGATTCATGAGAAGCAGATTGAGATTGCTCATTAGAAGCAGATTGAGATTGTTCATTAGAAGCTGAAGAGGAAGGTTCAGTAGAACGATAGAAAGAAGAGTTAGTGAAGATTGGTGAATGGGATGGATGAACAACAGATATAGGAGCAAAAATGGAGGTGGGAACAGTAGGTGACATCAGTAATGTTAATCAAACGCTATAGCAGTCCAGCAGAGCAGAGGAGAGGTCTGGCACTACTAGACCTACTGTAGCGGGGCGTTTGGGTGTAGCGGATATAGAGGGCGCTATAGCCTATAGTGGGCGCTATACAAGTAGAGAGGCGACGCTATAGCAACGCTTTTTGCGATCGAAGGTCTGCTAGGGATTTTCTGCGTTTATTCATTGACTGCAGATTGACAGGGGTAAAGTAGACTTTTAAAACTAAATAGTAAGCAACCTAAAACCGTTGTACATATACGCAGAAGTGTAGAACCCTTAAAAACGCACAAGTAAGCAACATTCTCTCTGCTCTGCGATGACCTTTGCTTCAACAAAATTTCTGCTCCATCTTTTTCAAGAGCGATCTTTACTCCATTTTTTCAAGAACGACCTGTCCTCCATTTTGTACAAGAACGACACATGCTACACTCCTCTTTATTTTTTTTCCAGTGGTAGACTGATAGACTATTAATTTACCAAGGCTTAAACCAGGAACTCGTTTTTGATTCAATGTTTTAACTTAAGATGTTTTAATCATTAATAGCATTGTATGTTTTGCTCATGAAATTAAGGAATATTTCCCAGTAATTTAGGATTTAAAAATGTGAAGATGTTTGCAACTTTCAATGACATATATCACACTTTACTAATGTGTGTGTAATGTAATTATATGCTTCTAGTTCATCATGTATTATACTTAAAAGTAGTATGAATAGCGGTCATCCCGCTATCCGCTATACCGCTTTAGCATTTTCAGGGCTGGCCGCTACGCTCTGCTACCCGGGATTGACAACACTGGGTGACATAGAGGTTGTAGAAGAAAAGAGAGTAGAGTAAGAAAACTTGGATTCATGAAAGATAACATCTCGAGAGAGATAAATTTTTCCAGAAGGAGAGAGACATTTATAGCCTTTGTGGCTGGAGGAATAGCCTATACAGACACATTCTTCAGAATGAAAATCCATTTTATGATTGTTATATGGATGAGTGAATGGATAACAAGAGCAACCAAAAACTTTAAGGAAGAAGTAATCTGGAGCAGAACCATATAGCTTGAAATACGGACTAGAATTGAATTAGTCTTATCACTCTTGAAGTCTAGTCACCCTGAAACTAATCCCTATTACCTTTTTGTCATGAATTCGTTAGAACCAATTAATTTAATTCTCTTTCACTGCAATTTATTTCAAAAATTAATCTCGCACAATTCGCATTTTATTTATTTAATTTGATTGCTGAAATTAACTAACACTTAATTCTCTTTTTCCGTTTCTTTGGAGACGATACTGTTGACATATATTTAAGTGTGAGAGAACACACATTAGTGTCCATCCACATTCAATTTTTAACTTCATTGTTAGTGCATAACGGTAGTTGGCTTTGGAATGTGATGGAATAAAGCAAAATGACCCACTTAACTGTCTGTGCTTTTTTGTTATTAAGTAGCAGTCAGCAATTTTTTACACGATTTTCATCATGGGTCATCCGGAAACAGTCTCTTTGTGCTTAGCACAGGGTAAGACTGCTTACATCCAACCCCCCTTATTCCACCGTAGATGGGATCTTTTACGACATTGGGGTAAGATTGTTGTTGCTGCTAGTGCAAAACAGTAATCTAAACCGGCCCAAAGAAATTATGGAGGCAAGATTACCATCAGTGGGTCTCTTTACAAATTCCACACCCAGTTTCTCAAATCTCTCACAAGCCTTGTATACATCATCAACAGTAATACCTATGTGTCCTGGAAGCAGAGAAAAAATTAATCCAAAAGTTAATCATAGCAGGTGACAAATTAACTGGCAGTCCACATGAAATATTCAAAATATAAAGGTAAAAAAAGTTAAACAAGAACAGACACACACACACAAGCTTGTGTGTGTTACGTACTTGTCTTTTTAAGAGTAAAATAAGACACATACATGCAGAAAAAATACACAAAACATATACTTAAAACTTAAGATATAAGATATATGAAATGTCAATTCCATACCAAATCCACGAGGCTCTGTATTTCCATTGTGGTAACCCTTGAAATTTGGATCGCTCTCAGTACCCCAATTACTACAAGGAAAATTTGCCTGTTGGCAGATGCAAACTTGTGATAACAATGCTGGGTGACTTAGGGTGTGTTTGGTTGAAGGAGGGAACCATCTCATTTCACCATGTTTGTTTTGAAATATTAGTTATGAAGAAAACCATAATAGAGATGACAACAAGGTGGATCTGTGACGGTTATGTACTTATGTAGTTATGTCTAAGCATGTTCACCCCATTATGCAACAGCTTATTTTATTCAAATCATAGCCTCCACAACAAGTATAAGGTATGCCTAGGTAATGATTGTTTCAATGGATAAAATTTATGATCATTAAAGATTATATACTTGAATTTCGAAATCATATAAAAATAGAGATTTATATATGCCGGTATATTTTTTATATATGCAGGTATATGTGTGTCTTTGAACTCGGTACATGAGTAATTGCACACAAAGACACACATATGTGGAGTTTTAATAATCTGTGTTTGTTGGACATTGGGTGTGTGCTGTGAACAGTTTTCAAGTGGGAGAATTGTTGGGTGAAACCCGTTCTCGCTGGGCTAGGCCCATTTGCGTTTTAGGTTCTGTTTAGGCCCATTTGTTATGGCCTGTGGCCCCTTTGTATTTCTTAGATATACTACTTCAGCCACTATATGTTAGTACTGCGGGTTAATAAGACTTCCCAACACCCCTTGTGGATGTAGATCATATTGATCGAACCACGTATATCGTTGTCTTGTGCTCTTGCTTGATTGCTGTTTATCTTTGCTTTAGTTCTTTGTGCTTTAACAACATATACCTGCATTTTTTTTAAATGAAAAAAAATGCAGGTATGTGTGTGTCTTTGTGTGCAATTACTCATGTACTGAGTTCAAATCCATCCACACACGCATATATGTGTGTGCGCATATAGATAAATTATACTACCTGCGTCCCTCCAACATTGGGAATTTGGGACAAAAGGAAGTGGTGCAGCCGTGCAGTTATTAAGAAAAATGAAATTGTGAGCTTGATGTTAAATTGATAGAGTAAATAAAGTAAGAATGAATTGTAATCACCCAAATTTTACCAAACATGGTAAATTCTATACGAACTAAGTGGGACGGACGAAAAAGGTAAAATAGGAAAAAGATAGAGGGTGGAGGGAGTAATAATTTACTAATTTATAATATTAATAAAATGAGTTGAAATGTTAATGGTGCAGATAACAATATTGGTACCCAAAATAATTGGGGCGGTAATCAGGCAACAATGAGGCATGGGGCTTTATGTGTATAGAATTCTAACCACAACATTAATTGTAGCCCTACACATATTTAAATATAACATTGATAATCATTTATTAGTTTACTATATTATTCAAATGGATTGGATGGTAAATGGTGTGGGTAATGGACTAATGGTATCGGTAGCCAAAAACATATACTCGTACTGGGGCAGATGGGTATTGAGGCAGTTATATATAGAACCACACTCTCCCTCGTTAGCCATAAAAACATAATAGTTGTTCCTTGTCTTGTGCTTGTTACCCAGTCAATGCAATTTTCTTTGTTTGACCGAAGCGGTTCAATACGGTTGTCCAACGAACAGGATATAATTTCCATCTTTAGGACAAAATTTCATCCTCCCCTCCACTCCCTCCCTTTGAACCAAATACACCCTTAAAGAAAAGTGATGCTTACTGTGTAAGCTCTAGAGTAGCTTTTTGACCAAAAGTCCAAGCAACACGATCAGCTGGATCAGTGGGAGCTGATGATGTGTCCTAAACCATTAATTGCAGAAAATCAATAAGCTCGTAATCACACCTCAAATTGGTTGCGCAAAATTGGTTATGTTCTTCACCTCATATCCCATGAAATATAGGCTAAATTTCATCTCTGGAAAATCCAATCTCTTCAACAATCTATAATCACAACAATCAAATAGAAAAAAGTTATACAACTGAATTGAACAGTATGGGCAATTAAAAGTCCCCATTAGGCTGAACATAATCCTAAGCACACAGGACAGCAGGAAGTCAAAGGGAAAGGCAATAAGAGGACTTACGACATGCCCAACACTTTGGAGTAGAACTCAAGACTGACTTTTGGGTCCTTAATCCTGAACATCTGATATCATTAAAATTAAAGGAATATGTCAACATTATGTGATTTCTTGATCGGTTAGTCCAACAGGTGAAAACGACAAACAAGCAAGAGTGGAGCAAAAAATGAAAAAAAAAATACATATTTTTGGTATGGGCATTACAATACGATGCCTTCTATACCTACAGTTCTTGGTGTGCTGGAAAAATGTAATGTAATAAATTCTTAGGACTTGTCCGATTTTAGCTACAATTTAGGAAGACACTAGCTATTACTCCCTCCATCCTGCTAAGATTGTCTCATATTTCCTTTTTGGTTAATCCCACTAAGATTGTCCAATACGAAACTTGATAATGTTTCATCATCATCATCATTACCCCAGTGCCGCAAAGGCTCCCACCTACGGTGGGATAAGGGGGGTCGGATGTACGCAATCTTACCCCTATACTAAAGCATAGAGAGACTGTTTCTGAATGACCCATAGTGAAAATCGCGTCGAAAATTGAATAGACTGACTGTTACTTCTTAACAAAGAAGCGCAGACAGTTTAATGAGCCATTTTGCTTTATTTCATCATATTCCTATGGAGTCTTTGGCTCCATTGAAAATGATGGAAAAGAAACTTGATAATATTTATATGATTCTAAATCATTCTTACTTTATTCTCACTTTATGAATTCTATATCAACCACATAAACACTTTTCTTGGTAACTGCACCACCTCCTATTGTACCAAAGTTAAGAGGACAGAGGGTAGTATTTTGTAGCAGAATAACGGAAAATCAATAAATATAGTGAATAACATATTGACCATGTTCAGCGAGGGAAATTAGGTGGAAACTATTAATTATGCTAATAATGTGGTTGAATTGCTTGATGAGCTGAATTTTATTTAAAGTGTCTTTAATTTTTTTAAATGTATTCGTTTTAATAAACTAAATAAAATAGTACTCTCTCTATCCCATATTTTTTCCCAAATTTCTTTATAGGGATGCCCCAAAATGATCTTTTAATTTCAAAGATTTAAGCGGCTGATATTGTTTCTATCTTTTTTACATCAACCACAACCATTCAATTTTACTTTTTCAATAAGCATGCCAATTGCCAAGTCAAATATAATACGAAGTTTTTGGCTGAGGGGTATAAAAAATCATGCCAAATGTAATTTCACTTCATTTAAACCATTTTATGCAAACTGTGTGATGCTTTTCAAGCTCACACAATTCAGGTAATGCAATCAACTACAGTAGCGCGTTGATAAAATAATAAAGCTTGTTAAACAAGAGTAATACACAAAAATTTACTGGTTTGATGACAATGTACATAAGCCAAATAATTGGAGTGGGCTTACAGTTTGCTGCAAGAGGTAACCTTTGGTGGCATCATCAGGGGTAGCCTGAAGGCCCGGGTTATTGGAAGGAGATTCTTTCGACCCGGAAGCCATCGATGAAGATGCAAACAAGCGGCTAATCTGAACCTGCAAATTTAAACAAAAAACTGGTCGTGTTAACTTCTAAGAAGAAATGATTGGAGACAAAATATAATGGGTTCAAGGAGTAGGGACCTTGGGTTTGTGGGCAAACAAACAAGGGATTCGAGATTTGGATAGTGGAGATAGATAGGGGGCTCTATGTTGATGAGTGATTGAACGAAGGAGAAAGATGGTTCTGGAGACTGAAGTAGCCATTTTTGGGCTTCAGAAACGGAAGCTCTCACCCAGTGGATCCGGATGATCTGCTTACCGAAATGTACAATTAAGGTCTAAACCATTGGGCTTTAGATATCTTTTCAATGCTTCTGGCCCCGTCTACATAAAATTTATTCAATAGAATTGCCAAATTGGTGTGATACCTTTGGGGTGTTAAGGAACAGAAGTTGAAGTACTTGGATGAAAGTGCAGAAGTGATTATGGTACTCAAATTTACTTCTAGAATAAGTTTTTTTTAGAAGCTGGGGTGACCAGCTTCAAAAAACTGATTCTGATTCTGCTTCTACTTTTAAAAAAGAAACAGAAGCAGAATCAGTTCCAAACACCCCCCTTATTTACATAAAGAGCCCGTTTGGTAAAACTAAAATTGACTGTATTGCTGACTCTGTCAAAATTTATGAAGTTCTAGATGAAGTGACTGTATTGGTTGATTCTGTTGATTCATGAAAAAATTATATTTAAAATATTTGTTATTAATAAATAAAATAAAAAATTATAGAGTTTTTTTCGTAATTAATGCTAAATAAAAAAATTACCCCGAAATTAAGGCCAGGTTAAAACTATTTAACACATGATAAACCAAAGTCACCAAACTAAGTAGGGACTCTCAACTCTCAAGTCCCCAACAGGTTCGGCTACTCTCACATGCTAAATACGAAGTACAACACGGCATCAAAAGAAAGAAAAAAAGGTATGGGACCCATGATACAAAAATCCCTTTTTTTCTTTAAAGGTCCATAACTTTTTCATTTTTGCTTAACTTTTTATAAAAAATATACCAAAATTCATAATTTTTTATTATCTTTCATTTGACACCAACATTGGATATATAAACTTTAAAAAATTTAAAGCTTATTAAACAACCTTCTTATTTTCCAATCTTCATACGGATTATTTCAAGAAATAATTACACATATATGACTAAAATAAAGATTGTTTACAAATTTGTGACTAGTAACTAGAATAATAATGGAATTATAGTTATTGAGATATATTATCCCGGACTGTTACTGATCAGGGGACGAAGGCATTATCCAGTACGGAAGCCCGTTCAGTGAGGCCCGTTTCGGCCCATTTCGGCCATCCAGCCACTTTGGCCCAGCCTAAAAGAGCCCCGTGCTTTTCTCCCTTTCGGATTTCCACGTACAGATCGAGTGTTCATACCAAATTATATCTATATTTATTATATCGTGCTGAATTAAACTCAACAATAATAATTTATATTCAATTTTTAAATTTAAGTTAGCATGAAACTATATTGTACTCCCTCCGTCCCGGGGAGAAGTTCCCAATTTCCTTATTTGGATGTCCCAAAAGAAACTTCCCATTGCCCTAAATGGAAAGTTATCCTACATTAAAACAGTGCCAAACAGTGCAAAACAGTGCCAAACAGTGTCGAAACAGTGCCAAACAGTGTCGAAACAGTGCAAAACAGTAAAATTTACCCCTCAGTAACTTTATTTCCTAAAAATGTGTGAAAGTCAACCCGGGAACTTCTCCCCGGGACGGAGGGAGTACTAACTATTAGTTATATTTGTATAGATAAATTTTATTTTATTAATATTTTTTAAACAAATTGTATATTGTCTTTTATTATGCGCATAATAACATAAATTTATGCGCAGAAAAATATTGTTAACATAAATTTTTATTCTCTGCGCATAATAAAAGACAATATAAATTTTGTTTCAAAAATATTAATAAAATAAAATTTATTTACACAAATATAACTAATAGTTAGTACCATATAGTGTCATGTTTACTTAAATTTAAAAATTGAATATAAATTGCTATAATTACATTACTATTCTAGTTACTAGTCACAAATTTGTAAATCATCTTTATTTTAGTCATAAATATGTAATTATTTCTTGAAATAGTCTGTATGGAGATTGGAAAATAAGAAGGTCGTTTAATAAGCCTTTAATTTTTTTTAAAGTTTATATATTCAATATTGGTGTTAAATGAAAGATAATAAAAAATTTATATTTTTTTTTTATAAAAAGTGGAGCAAAAAAGAAAAAGTTATGGATCTTTAAAAAAAGGGATTTTTGTACCATGGGCCCAATACTTTTTTTCTTTCTTTTGATGCCTTGGCTTCGTGTTACGTATTTCACATGTGAGAGTCACCCAACAAGTTAGCGACAAAGTCGCCACTTCATTTGGCGACTTTGATTTACCATGATTAGATCCAGCAGAATTTTGGTAAATAGATTTAACTCGACCCTAATTTTGTTAATATTTTTTAATTAGCATTAATTGCGAAAAAACTCAAAATTATCTGAAAAATAGCTAAAATGGTCTTTTACAGTAACTTCAGCCAATACAGCCAGAAAAATAATTTCAACCTTACTTTTTCTGCTTATTACACATTTCAGTGCGCAAAATCAAAAGCTACGTGTTTGGTGAAAAAGCTAATTGATAAGCCTGATAAGCATGATAAGCCGAAAAAATGATTGAGACTCAAAGTTTCTCACTTTTGGCTCTAGTTATTTGAGGAAACAAAAAAAAACGTGTAATATTTAAGGTTTAAACAAGTCAAGAAAAAGGTGCTCGGTCAGAATACGATTAGAGGTCCGTCAAGCTTGAACTCAAGGTGGTTGGTTAAACAATTGAGCTTAATTTGAACTAAATTCCTATTGTCTCGCACTTCACTAGCCTTGACACACACACACACATAATGTCCAGCTCCAATACAAAGTGTGAAGGATTCCACTCTTGATCATCTAAGGTGCACTATTACATTTAAATGATTTTTTACATCCACTTTTGACCATTTACGATACATTATTGCACATAAGGAGTCTTCTTTTTAAAAGAATGAAGATTTTGATTTACTTACAAAAATGTCATTGCATTTTGTTCACTTTAATGCATTTTTGACATATTTAGAGCTATTAGATCTTAGATTCGATGCACCGGACTTGTTCTTACTTTTCCTGTAAAGGGAATTTTTTATTTGATCCGGAATCTATATATAGGGAAAAGATCATGTGAGGAATGTCTCTTCCATTGAAAATTGTCAAATTTTAACTAATATAATCAATAAGATAACTTATATAAGTTATAGCTCAACCACCATAAATAAAAAATGACAGCTTCGTGGCGATAAACTATGGAAGTATGAGACAAGTATGAAACTATGATGAAAACAACCAATAGCACTTGATAGTTGATACCATATGATTTTTATATTAATTCGTTAACTTTTATATTATTAACTATTAATTCCTTCCTTAATTTTTTTTATCTTATATAACTTCTATCAAAGGTACTAGTTTTGTGTCGCGCGATGCACGATTATGATAATGCCCAATATCATTGACATATTGTTTTGATTAGGGCAATTGATTCATACCAATATTGCATATATGATGTGTGTTGTTGTTCGAATCAATATGATGCTTGATAGGTACACACAATAGTTGTGACAAAGGCTTTCAAGTGACTAAATCATGTACTCCCCTCTCCCATTATCTTAGATGTATTTTCCTTTTTGGGTTGTTACAAAAATATGACCACTTTTCTAAATTAAACTCCGCTAACCTTTTACTTTCACACTTTATACATTTATCTAGTATTTCATTCATTACTTTTTGTAAACTCGTCTTACTTTTTCTTACACTTTGGAGTTCAAAATTGTAGAACAATCACTCTGTTTTTTATTTTCTTAAACCCACACCAAACTCACATGGCCACATGTATCTTACATTATGGAACGGAGGTAATATATAATAGATTGCCTAATAAACATGATGGCAATGTACTTGCCAAATATTGTACTCGTAATGAAAATAAACAAACATTGTCCAAAATGGTACCATTTCCATTCAATTAGGCAATTAGCACATGAATATAAATTCACACAAAGAAACTACAAGCTCCGGTAATTGTTGATGTTACATGACAAAATCAATTATAGTATGAAATTTGAAATCACAGTTCAGAAAAACAAAGCAACTCAATAAACCCACTACACTACTTTGCCGCCACTTCTTTTTTACCTTGATTTTTTTGTTGTATTATTTGTTCTTCATATTATGTGCTGATTGGTTGCCTATTTGAGCACAATTAAGATACTCGTGTTATCAAAATTTATTACCTCATACAACCTAGAAAAGAATAATAATCAATATATAGGTGCCAAAGAGGAGCATTCCCACAACTGTCGCATTATTCATTTGCATTAAGAAAATGGGTCATAGTATTTTTATGTATTTCAAAGAAACTAATAACAATGTCTAGTGACAGTTAGTTCAAAGAAAAGATTTCAGTTGTTCAAAAATTGTAAAATACACCTACAAACATATATTTTTGGATCATCTTAGATGTAAACATAATGGTGAATTACAATTTTGGGGGTGACATCACTCTTTATTACATAATGTAAAGGCGAACAGAATGGATAAAAGGTATAACATTTGAGGAAAAAATGATGGTCATAATCATCCCATTTGACGTTTTATACGCTAGGGAAAATGAGTTAGAATCAAAGGTGTTCAGGGCATTAGTTAAAGCATGTCATTTATTTGTTATTTGTATTTATGCAGAAACATGGGAGTGTGGAATGTTCTTTATCTCACATAGGTTCTTAACATGTCAATATTAGTGAAAGAATAGGGAAAAACTAAAATAAAGAGATAAACATAGCAACCTTTTTCGCTCAAGACAATAACACCAACATTTAGGCTGTCATTGCACATTGATATGAAGTTTAGATAATTTAAAATAAATTGACTAATAGAAGCCGAATGAGAACATGACCAAGACATACTACCTATTATCTAATCGACTCAGACAAACAAGCTAGAATAAATCATATACTCTCTCCGTCCCGCTAAGATTGTCCGATTTTACTTTTTCGATCCATCCCACTAAGATTGTCTCATACCAAATTTGGTAAAATTTGTGTGGCTCTAAATAATTCTTACTTTATTCTTACTTTATCAATTCAATATCAACCATTTAAACTACTTTTTATTGGTTTGCGTGTCACTCTCTCTTGTCCCATTATTAGTGGACGGATGGAGTTCTACA